ATCGCCAGAATGCTAACATCTCTTATTGGAATCCCGTTAATTAAGCTAATGAGACGAAGGAAAGGTCAAAAGCACAGTCTGTCCTGGAAAAAATCCTTTTAGGGGTGAATAAACTCATGAGGAATATTTTTTCATTGGAGAAAGTTACCTTAAATGACTGAGAGTAATCCGGGTTATAATTTAGGAATTGTTGATAGTTTCCAGTATTATTCACATATAGATCAAGTTTCAATAATCAGAACAAGTTATTGGCCTACCTGACGCTGACGAACAACCAGTTCTGGAATCCCTTTTGGCACCACAAGGACGTCCGTGTCCTCCAAAGTCCCAAAATTATACATTTCGGGCTGTTTGTACTGGATTGCTAGGCTCCGTAACAGAGGGTAGAGCTTTTCACGTTTATAAATTTGCCTGTAATAAATTTAAAAATACTTATGCAACTTGATTTTACTCCTCAATAAATCCTAAGATAAAAGTAAACCCACATTTGACGTGGGTATAAATGCAGGACGACATTGCCTTTTTTAAGTATGACTACTTTTAAGAACTTTGTCACACATTTGTACTAACATGGTATATAAGTAGTATGATTGATTATAATGAAAAATACTAGTTTGCTTCAGTATTATTTCGAATGTAAATATGATTTGGGAAGAGACGTACTTCCCATGTAATTGCATTCTTACAGCAGTAGTTGTGTATCTGAGTGGTAACGTCTCGTTATGGTTCTAATCCAGTTGCAGTACTGATGAGTCAATGAGGTGTGATAGAATCTGCATTTCAGTCCGAATCATTCAATCCCATTAGGAGGCAGGGCTAAATAAGAATGAATGTTATCCTAATACTTATCCATATCAGTATGAGTAAAGCTCATACAATCAGATTACCCAAACTAAGTTCTTATCGCTTTTTGGTCTGCGTTGTTCGTCACTATTTCAGTTTCACAGGTCATATGAATGTTATGTACAAAAATTACTGCCGTCAAAATTATCTTTTGGCTACGGACTATTTCGATTGGTGTCCACTTTCTAGTGTTATGTGAATCCTAAACATCCTCTGACGTTTCACTACTCTATTAGTTTTTGCCCTTCCCTGCTTGTCTTTAGTAATTTGGCACCAACCTTTTGTTGTCTACTTCACCGTCATCTTCTCGGTTCAACTTGAACATACCACTTCTCACAGTTTTATCTTACTTTTCCTCTTAGCAAACGATAAGCCTAGAAACATGCAATTCCACATGTAAATACTACATTCTGATTCCTCGAGCCTCCCCCACATCAATCCTGACCAATTTTGTCGAAAGCCCTCAGTTGTCTTACTTCTTCTTAGAGTTGAATTAAAATGATAAAATAGGGATTCGGACCTCAGACTCTCTCTTGCCTCTTAGTTTGTGTTCCCTATTCACAGATAGTCAGCGGTTGCACCACAGCCAGAGCCCTGATTATTTGTATGGATAGCATGTGTCACAGCTTTATTTAAGACTTCTTAAAGAAAGCTCTGGCACTGATTATGCTTGTGAAGTGAAACATCTTTCGAAGAATCTAAAGACTTCTACCAGGATCAAAGGCTGGCTGAAATTCGAGCAACTAAAATGCACACACATACACACACACACACACGAAATCTCTTAACGACAATAAGCAAAGGGAAGTCGAAGGCTTTAATTTTCCAAAATTGGATTATTCTTAACTTTCAACATGGAAGGTCCTCATATAAGCTGAGACAATCAGCCATAAAATTAACAATCGCTTGAAACTTATTGAATAAAAAATTTTGACATCTTAAGACTATAACTACAAATTTCCTTTAAATAATTAACTCAAATTAAGATATATTTGGTATAAATGGCAATCTTAATAGGGGATTAAAAACTCCTAAACTGTTTACAATTTATATATTTTTGTCAATATTGAATCTATCCTAATTGGCCAAATGTAAAACATTTTAGTGCTATTTTTTTCATGACTACCATCATCACGCCTAACGTTTGAAATCCATTTGCAGCTACTAGTATCACTTGGTTGAAAGACTATCAGTTGTTTTTAATAACATACAGTTAAATGACAAAAATAAACATGAAAGCTACGGGATCCAGAAAGGATGCCAAAGTTTATATAGCAAATGTTTATTGAAAACCTATTATTTCATTAATATAAAAACCCGACTTTTTATAGAATTTAAGATAACTGTTGAATGCTATACTTCAGGATTTGTGAAAACCAAAGCTTAGTCGCTTCGGCCTGATAGACTTTTAGAATGCGGCTTAAAACTAATCAGCAGTTGTCATTCGATGCACAGGTGGAGTCCACTACCGACTCAAAAAATGTCCAATAATTTCATAACTCTGCCCCAAAGTAGGGGAGCAGAATGTTGAATGGAAAAGATAAAAGATTGGCAACTGACAGTTAATGAGTAGAGAAGACGTACACAAACATTTTGAAGATGGCCGTAGTGTCTATTGCCTCTACGCCAAGTCGTCGCTTGCCCCAGGCCTGTCGAAGCAGTTCGACGCGCTTGAGAAGAACTAGAAACTTTTTGAGCAGCGTGTACGCCTCAATCGGAGTATCTGAAGTGTTCAACCGGCGATCTGAATCAAAAGTCCCAGTGCGTGCAAGAGGGCAAACAGAAACGACGATAAATGCACGCCAAGTTAGACAAGAATTCGAGCCCACTTTTTAGGCAATCAGTACATTATTGGACTAGAAAATGAGCATTGAATAAGTTTAGAGAGTCAATAGATCTTAACTAATGAAGCCAACTTACACAAAATTTAAGTTATAACTCTAATAAGTACTATTGTAATCTAAGAATGAATACAATTTTCGCACAGTGAAATGTCTATAATTCATAATACCAGCGAATTTTAGATTGAATTACCCCATAGACATTCCCTCTCACTTGGGAGGGATGGCAGGTTCAAACTAGCTAACAACTCTTCCCATTCCCACTGATTGTGGGATTGTCAAGAAAGAAAATCTCAAAAAAGGAACTTATTCTTCCTAAATTATTGCCGGTGAATTAAGAACTGATAGTCTATTTTTCCCATACAATCAGCTGATTAGGCCTCAGGATGCAATTGAAGTTCCCAAAAGACTATC